CATTTTCTCGTTTTCTCACCTTATTTCACCTAAAATCGAATGGTTTCTTCCCCAAATCACTTAGAATCATTAAAACCCTCAATATACCATAGATTCAACTCAAAAACACCACCGGAAACATACACCAAACCAACAAGAAACTTCAACAACACAACCACAAACTTCAACCAACACAACCACAAACTTCAACAAATACAACCAACAACTTCAACAAACACAATCAAACAACTACAACAACTTATCCAATATTTTCTCAAAATAATAAAATGAGTTGGGCGTGTGGGGGAAAGGATCAATCCACACTAAGAACTCACATACCTAATAGGGATCACCCCCGACGATATCCACGACGATCTTCGACGAAAACTTGCTTCTTTTTCTTCTTTCTCTCCTCTTCTTTTCTTCTTCACTCTCAAACCCTTACTTTCACTCTTTAAAAATGAGGAAAACTGATCAAAATCAGTCTAACACACTAATATACATCCAAAAGAAAAGGCTAGGGAAAAGACCAAAATACCCCTACAAATTTCCGGACAGATTTTCTGCCAACAGCCCAACTTTCAAAGGGCATAACTCGCTCATACAAACTCGGAAACGAGCAAACTTTATGGCGTTGGAAATATCATTCCACGGACTTTGCAAACATAACTGGAACAACACCTAGATCATCCTGAGCTAGGAGTTATAACTGTTCAAAGTTGGCCAAAAACTCATTATTTTCCATACTTAGCCAAATTTTTAAGATTTGAAATTTCACATTTTTCCAAAAATGGCTATTTCCAATTTCAAGCTTTTTCAAAGTTATTTCAAATTGTCGGATGTTACATTTTAAGCTAAGGTTAGAGTAATTATCTCAAACCAAAGAAAGAGTTTTGTTTTTACAAACATAAAGAACTAAGTATTTTTGGGAGTAGTATTGAGCACCGATATGGGGATGCGAGTTCATATTAATTCAAGTCTCCATAAACCATGTACCAATCATGGTAGAAAAGGGTCATACTTTTTAGATGAATCCTTTTCGCATAGACTAATGGATCCACTTAGTGAGTTAGCTTTCTATATCACGGCAAGGTATAAGGTGGGCCTCAGCAGCGTGAGGTAAAGCGTTGTATCATTACTATAGTTCTTAAGTGATGGTTGTTGGTTAGAAAAACTCCCACAACAGTAGTAGCATGGTTCCTCAAGGGGTTCTGCTTAGTGTGAATGAGGGTATGTGACTTCATTCATGCATTGCACAAGTAGACTTTGAGAGGGAGCATGGTTGGTATTTTTATGATATTATAATTATGAATTGACAGCATGTTTTCAATAGTTTTTCTTTATATTACACTTGTTTTAAACTGCTTTATAATGAAATGAGTTTATTTAAGTATTCAAGAGTTGAGAAGATCCAAGGTAAGTGTTTCTTTCATAATCTCTTTCGAGCTTATGTTGTTTTAGCATTCCAACTCGCATACTCGTACATTCAATGTATTGATGTAACATCCGACAATTTGAAAAAACTATGAAGAAGCTTGAAATTAGAAGTAGTCATTTTTGGAAAATTTCAGAATCTGGAAATTTGGCCAAGTATGGAAAAAGATGACTTTTTGGCGCCAACTTTGAACAATCATAACTCCTATATCAGGATGAGTTAGGTGTACTTCCAGTTATGTTTGCGAAGCTTGTGGGACGATCTTTCCAACACCAGCGATTTTACTCGATTCCGAGTTCGTATGAGTGAGTTGTGCCTTTTGGAAGTTGGGCAGTGGCAGGGAAATCCGTCCGGAAATTTTAAGGGCATTTTGGTCTTTTCCCTAACCAATTCTTTTGGTTATATTGTTGTGTTAGACTGATTTTAGATCAGTTTTGTCTCATTTTAAAAGAGTGAGAGTGAGAGTGAGGGTTTTGAGTGAAGAGGAGAAGAAGAGGAGAATAAGAGAAAAAAGAGAAGATCAAGCAAGTTTCCGTCAAAGATCGTCGTGGATATCGTCGGGGGTGATCCCTACTAGGTATATGAGTTCATAGTGTTGGTTGGTTCTTTCCCCCACACGCCAACTCATTTTTATTATTGAGAAAAAATTGGTTGTGCTGTTGAAGTTGTTGGTTGTTGTTGATGTTGTTAATTGTGTTGTTGAAGTTCTTGTTGATTTGGGACATGTTTCCGGTTGTGTTTATGAGTTGAAATCTATTTATGTTGATGGGTTTATGATTCTAAGTGTTTGGGGATGAATCCATTGAAGTTAAGGAGGTTTAGAGTTGGAAAAATGAAGGAGAAGAGTCGGATTTTTGGGGGAAAAGGTTGGGGCGTCGCGCCAGCCAGCGCGCCCCAACAGGGGTTCTGAGGTTTTACCCTTGGTGTGGCACGTCTCTCAGAGCTCCAGCAGGCCCCTTCTGAGCTTCAAGGCTTGGCGCTCCGCGCCTTGCAGAGCGCCAAGGATGCCAAGTTTCCCCTTTCTTTTCATACTTTCTCATGCATGTTTCTTGGTATTATACCTATGTTTCCTAGTTGTTTCCGACACTCCAAAGTACGTCTAAACATCAAGAATCCCTCCATAACATGTGATCAAACACCTTGAATTCAAAATCCAATTCAAGGAGAGTTAATCTTAGAAGTTAAGTAAGTCAATGCAAGTTTTCAAAGTTGTTCAAGAGCCTTTATCGAACGTTTTCACTTCGTTTTTAAGGTTCAAGTCTCAAGTCGAGTAAATAGTATAAAGTTTCAAGCCAAGTGAAGAGTCTCAAGTTTCAAGTTTAGTCAAGAGTATAAAGTTGAGTTATTTTCTCAAAAGTTATTAAGGAACTAAGTATTCCCAAAGAAGTTTTAAAGAAATGTTTTTACATTTAAACAAGGTTGGAAACTGAGATTTCCAAAGAGCCTTGGGGCTAGTTTTTGAGTAATATTCTCAAATCAGCAGGAAGACATATGTTTTAAAAACATAAGAGCCAGTACTTTTTGGGAGTAGTATCGAGCACCGAATTGGGGGAGCGTTCAAAGAACCCATAGCCCCCATAGAACCATGTTAGCCACCATGGGTAGAAAAGGATCATACTTTTTAGATGAATCCTTTTCCAGATAGACTAGTGGATACATTAGGCAGTTCAGGTCTTATAACTTTGGCCGGGTATAAGATGCTCTGGCAGCGTGAGGTCAATCGATGTATCATCACTATAGCTCTAAGTGATGGTTGTCGCTTAGAGAAACTCCCACAACAGTTATTGTATTTTCATACACAGAAGTTATTGTATTTTTATATACATCAGTTCATTTGTATTTCTATATACATCTCAGGCTTATTGTATCTTTGTATACACACAGAGTTTATAGAAGGTTTTAAACAGTCTTTCTTTATATCGCACTTGTTTTAAATTGCCTTATATTGAAAGAAGCCAGTCAGGTTGAGTTGAGTTGAGCCAGGTAAGCTTTTCAGTTTCTTCCAGATTTTTCCTTCTGGCCTATGTTGCTTAGTTTTCCAGCTCGCATACTCGTACATTCCATGTATTGATGCCAGTTAACCTGCATCTAATTATGATGCAGACACAGGTACCCAGGATCAGCATCCAGCACGCCGTTGAACCAGCTAAGCACTCCAGAGTCAGTGGTGAGCCTTTTTGCATTTCGGAGGACTCGGTTATTTTGTTCTCTTAGTTTTGCCTTATTAGGATGTTGCGGGGTCTGTCCCAACGTCCATCTCAGTATTTTAGAGGCTTCATAGACAAGTCAGTCAGTCAGATAGTTTTGAGTCTCTCATCTATGTATATATGTAAATATTCTATTTTGAGACTCGAGTTGCCTTTTTGGCCAGATTTTATCAGTTAAGTTGTTTTGTAACCTTGCATTTGCATTGAGTTATTCTGTTGGGTTAGGTTTCCGCTGAGTTAAGAAAGCCAAACCAAGAGTTCGCTTGGGGCCAGCAATGGTCTCCGGGTGCTGGTCCCTCCCAGGGTGTAGGCTCGGGGCGGGACAACTGATGATGCAGACACAGGTAACTAGGATCGGCATTCCAGCGCACCCTTGATCCAGTGAGCAGTTCAGAGTCAGTCGGTGAGCCTCATTGCATTTCGGAAGATCCATTTTCATTACTTTCTAGTTTAGTTCATTAGGATGTTGTGGGGTTTGTCCCAACATCCATCTCAGTTGTTTTAGAGGCTTCATAGACAGACAGTCAGTTAGTTATTTCAGTTGAATGTTTCTTTCTGACATTCTAGTTACTTCGTAAATGTTTATGTGATGAGTTAAGTCTTCCGCTGAGTTAGTAAGCCAGGCCAAGGGTCTGCTTGAGGCCAGCAATGGTCTTCAAGTGCCGGCCACATCCCGGATGTAGGCTCGGGGTTGACAATATCCTCTGTATATGCTCTGATAAGATACAAAATATGGATATTCATGAAGGTGAATTAGGAAATATTGGCTCTGTTAAGTCTTGGAAATTTACCCATGGTAAATCCGTATTCCTCCATTTCACAAAGAATGACCTGGTTTGACTTGACACAGAGTTTAAGTAAATAAGAAGACTTTTGAATCTTGTGGTCCTAAATTAAAGTTAAGTCAAATGTACAAAATTGTCCTTTAATCTTGTGGCCTTAAACATGCCACGTGGAAAGCTGAAATTAAAATGTTACCAAAAAAAGAAAGAGATCATTTTTTTTTAAACAAACTAGAAAGGAAAGGAGGGCATTCTTTTTTAAACGGAGGGAGTATATTTGGTTTCAATATTTAGTTTTGTAGGCTCATTTTTCTTGTTCAAATTGTAGGTAAGCTATTGGAGATCATTACCTCGAAATTTTTTTAGACATCTAGCTCAAACTTATCCGTTCATTAATTTGATCCAACATTTTTATTAATTCAAATCGTTTTTAATCCATTCAGATTCAATTCATTTCACTTGATCATTTAAAAAGCAAAATCAGTAGTATGCAATATTTACTATATTTGTTTGCAGGTGGAAAAGAGATTGTTGTAAAGGAAGTAATTGAAGAAATAGATGACGAAAAAAAGTTGATTAAAAAAAAGATAATTCAAGGTGATTTGTTGGAGTATTATAAATCATTTTACGTCACTATTCAGGTTGAGATAAAGGGTGAAAATAACTTAGTTACTTGGATCATGAATTATGAAAAGAAGAATGCAAATGTGCCAGATCCACACACATATATGGAATTATGCCTCAATGTCACTAAAGATATTGGACTCACAATCTCAAGTGATACATAAATATTATTCTTATTATTATTATTATTATTATTATTATTATTATTATTATTATTATTATTATTATTATTATTATTAATAATAATAATAATAATATTAGTATTATATACGTACTAGGAATAAAAGCCTAAGTCGATGGATATTGATAAACAAAAATAAAAGTTTGGAAACTAATTATTTTTATTTCCATATATGTATGCAAGTCTGTAATGAAATCGATAATATTATATTGAATAAAATCTCCATAAGTCCATTTCTATGATAATAATTATAACAAAAAAACTAGCTAGAGACATTCAGTGGCGAATTCAAAATATCGACTAAGGCATGTGTAACGACCCGTTTCCGTCATTATAGAAAAAGCCAATGGGGGAAAGAATTGGGGCCAGAAAACTTTTGAGTAGTAACTTTGGATTTCCCAACCTAGTCTAGATTTGGACGAAATCAAAGTCGTTATGGTGTAGGGAAATCTGGTAACAATTGGGTGACTTATTTATGATTTTGATTACATGAGTGGTTAGATTAGTCGTTAAGGAATTTGTATGACCTTACAAAATTGAATTCGGGTGAGTAGAACTCCCGAAATCGATTTTAGCGTGAACGGTATTTTCTGAGCGTCGTTGGTTAAAGGTGTGTAGTGAAATGGGGGTCTTGGAATTATTAAAATAGCTCACTGGTTCTGTGAAAGCCGCTGGGGCAAGATTTCTGTCGCCAGGGCGGGGACGTTGTAGCGGGGTGAGGACCGTTGTGGCAGGTCCGACGCGACTTAAAGTCGTAAATAAACCCCAAAACGTCTTTATTCTGCACTTTTTGACTTTGAGAGCTAAGGAACAACCCCATACGAGTTCTTGACCATTTTTCACCATTTTTTAGGCTAAAGGAAAGGTTTTAACTCCCCAAATCCATTTTTCGATTCGTAGAATGTAGTTTCTTGGGTAATTATCATTGGAGAAAGGTTTTGATCTAAAGTTAATGGTGGAAAAAGTCCTAATCTGGGTATGGGGATCAAGGTTTGACATAGGGTTGATATTATTGATTATGATCCGGGTAATTAGGCCTCGTTTTTTTATCCTTGCGTTAATTGTATGTTTTTAGACCACAAACAAACGGGAAGATTCAAATGTCTTAGGGGATTCAAGCTTGGGTTCGAGGTAGGTGATGGTGGTGATTTCATGTTGGTGTGACATATGTTTGTAATTGCTCATTATAATGTATGTATGTATGCGAATGTTACATTATTGATCACCCTAATTGTAAATAAGGATAATTGAATAACTGTATGCAATGAATCACCTTTTGTTGTATGATTGTGAGAATATACATTGTGATTGTTATTGTGGTTTGTTAAATGGATCGGGTGTTACGTTCTGACACACTAACTTGGATCGGTTGCCACGTTCCGGCATAAATATGGGATCGGTTGCCACGTTCCGGCATAATTATGGGATCGGTTGCCATGTTCCAGCATAAACATTGGATCGGGTACCAAGAATCGGTACACTAACAATTTGGGTGTGGGTTCCATAAGAGGACCATTGAATTGGGTTATGTGAGAGGACCATTAAATTGTGTTGTGTATCTATCTGTGATGATTTTGTTCATATCTAATGATGATTGATATTGGAAGACGGTGTGTTGCTCTAAATTGATATAACTGTGATATGTGAGAATCATGAAACTGTTTGTTGTTCGTAATAGTTGACTAATATTGTATATGTTTAAGGTAACTATTGAGCGTGACCGGATTCAAGGGCGAGCCAGTTCTTTCAGGCTGCCATGGATCTCTCTTGTTTAAGTCCACTCTTTTCGGACTCAGACTATTTGTTTAAGGTGTTTGTTTAGTTTCTGTTACGCCCCGAGCCTACACCCTGGGCGGGACTGCACTCAAAGACTATTGCTGGCCCCAAGCGAACCCTTGGCCTGGCTTACTTAACTCAGCGGAAGACAATATTCATATCTATAATGATAAATGAACTTAACTGAACTGAATAATAAAATAACTGAGAATGGTTTAAAGATTAAACATTGAACTTGGCCAAAAGTGGCAACCCAAGTCTTAACAATAAGAAATGAAAATGAAAAGACTCAGAAGACTAACATTTGACTATCTATGAAGCCTCTAAAACAACTTAGATGGATGTTGGGACAACCCCCACAAACATCCTAATGAACTAACTAGAAAGCAATAAAAATGAGTCCTCTGGAATGCAAAGAAGCTCACCAACATACTCTGAACTGCTCACTGGATTAACGATGCGCCGGATACCGATCATATTTACCCTATGTCTGCATCATAATAAGATGCAGGCCAACTGGCATCAGTACATTGAATGTACGAGTATGCGAGTTGGATTGCTAACAAACATAGGCTTGAAAGGGAATCTGAAAGAAACACTTACTATGGCTCTTCTCAACTCATGAATACTTACTGAACTCATTTCAATATAAAGCAGTTTAAAACAAATGCAATATAAAGAAAAGTTGTTTAAAAACATGATGTCAACTCTGTGTATATACAAGGATACAACAACTCTGAAATGTATGTAAAAATATATTAAACTGATGTATATAAAAATACAATAACTTATGTGGGAGTTTCTCTAACTGACAACCATCACATAAGAGTTATAGTGATGATACAGCGATCTACCTCATGCTGCCAGCGCATCCTATACCCGGCCAAAGGTATAGAACCTGAACTGCCTAATGGATCCACTAGTCTATTGCGAAAAGGATTCATCTAAAAAGTATGACCCTTTTCTACCCATGGTGCCTACATGGTTCTATGGTGACGTGAGTTATCTAAACTCATGCTCGTCCATAATTTGGTGCTCAATACTACTCCCAAAATATGCTGGCTCTTATGTTTTAAAAACATACTTCTTCTATGATTTGAGATTAGTGCTCAAAAACTTAGCTCAAAGGCTATCTTGGAAATCAAAGTTTCCCCTTTTGCTTCATTTAGAATGTGATTACTTTTTTCTAAAAACTAGCCCGAGGCTCTTTGGAAATCTCAGTTTCCATTCTTATTTAAATGTGAAAACATTTTAAATCTCTTTGGGAATACTTAGTCCCCATATGCTTTTGAAGAAATGAACTTCAAGTTTACTCTTTGCTTAACTTAAAACTTGAGCCTTAAAACGAAGGTAAAACGTTTGTTAAAGACTCTTGAAAACTTTAAGAAACTTTTATTTGACTTGCTTCTTAACTTCTAGACTTTGATTCTTAGCTTTTATGACTTTGATCTTAACTTTCCTCGAATTGGATTATGGATTCAAGGTTCATTATCTCATGTTTATGGATGATTTCATGATGTTTAGATGTACCTTAGAGTGTTAGAATCAACTAGGAAACATAGGTACATCACTTAGGAACTAGTACGAAAAGGTGAGGGAAGAATGGGGAGAACTGGTGTCCCTGGGCTCTGAGAGGCGCGCGGAGCCAGCCCTCAAACTTCAGAGGACCATCTGGGGCGCGCTGGCTGGCAAGTCACCCCAAGGGGTGAACTTCAGAGCCCCTTTTGAGGCGCGCTAGCTGGCGCGACGCCCCACCCCCTTCCCCAGGTTTTTGACGATTGTTTTTCTCCGTTTTTCAACTCTAAACCCTCTAAACTTCAATGGTTCCTTCCCCAAACACTTAGGATCATATTACCCTCAACATACAACAGATTTAACTCAAAAATTCACCCAAAAACACGAATCAAATCAACAAGAGACTTCAACAACATAACCATCAAGAACTCAACGAATTTTCAACAATGTTCTTCAAGAACTCACTTTCTTTGCATTCAAATAACCTAAATTCGTTGTATTGAAACAAGATTGGCGTGTGGGTGAACTAACCCAACACTATGTGATCTCTCATACCTTGTAGGGATCACCCCCGACGAATTCCACTCGCAAGGCCTAAACGTTCTTGGCGATTTCTTGATTTCTCTCCTCTTTTCTCTTCTTTCTTCTCCTCTCCAATCCCTAGCGTAAATTCTAATTTTTCTAAACTGAATAAAGTCTGGTTTTACCCCAATTAATCTCCTAAAATGAATTAGAGTAATTAGGTAAGGAAAAGACTAAATCTCCCTTCTAAAATCCGAATTAGACATTTCCTTATTCCAACAGCCTAACTTCCAAAAGATATAACTCACTCATACAAACTCGAAATCGCGTAAACTTAGCGGCGTTGGAAAGATCATTCCAAGATCTTTCCAACCATATCTGAAACTACACCTAACTCATCCTGAGCTAGGAGTTCTGGTCGTTTGAAGTTGACCAAAAACTCACCTTAACCTGCTTAAAATTTTCCAGATTTCCTTACACTTTCCAAAAATAACTATTTCCAGATTTTAAACTTCCTTCTAGTTCTTTCTAATTGCGAGATGTTACAGTTTCGAGGTTGTACCCCTTGTTCTTAGACTTGTCATTAGTAGAGTTTTGGTAGAATGACTTTCAGGTTCTAGGGGTATTTCCGCATTAGTTATTAGTTGTTAGTTGAACTTCCGGAGTTTATGGAGACTCCGTATTAATTATATTGTCATTTAAACTTGCTTCCGTATTTCTTAAATGTCTAGTTCTTCGTTAAGTTGCTTAGTTGAGTTGTAGTAATGGTTCTCCCACCGGAGGGTTAGTGTGGGTGGTTGCCAATCACGACGGTCTGGGTCGTGACAACATGTAAAAATAAAAAAGAAGAAAAATTGTGTAGAAGTCAGGAGTGTCAATATGTAATATATTTACATAAAATATTATTTTATTCTAGCTAGCTTATACAATGTAATTTTTCGACGAAAAGATGTCAGTAAACACCCTCAATTAATGTGGTTCCACCACTTGAAACATTGATCTCGGAAAGACCTAACGAATTCTTTTAATGTATTAT